GATAGCTCCTGGCCGGGTTTTTAGGGCTTACCCGAAAGGCCTGGAAGATAACAGGGATCTAACCTCAATGGACATGACTCACCACCTCCACTAACACCCACTTTGCTTAGTCTCATCGTAACCCCTCTCAATCTCATCTCAAAAAAAAAATTTACTCACTACGTTTGATGATGTACGATGTTGTTATTGTTGATGAAGACGACGCGACGATATTGATGGCTAAAAGGAAAATAAAAAAATTAATATTAAACGATGCAAAAGAATGAGATAACTTATCCCCTGTTATGTTTTTCTCACTGTTCACTTCTTAAAATAAAAAAAACACATAAAATAGATCAATAGAGGACTTACCACCTCCGTATGATCTTAACGAAAAAAAGGAAAAGAAAAAGAAAAAAATTAAAACGTATACCTACATTTTTATTTATTGTGTTCGCTAGATATTGAATTATTTAATTTTGTATTGTCGAAACCAATCTAAAATAGAAAACAAAGCGATTATTATTTGATGCAAGAAATCGAATGACTTCTTCGAAGGAAATCATCCATCTTTATATCTCCAAAAATCACTTTTACCGGAGAGAAAAAATTTTCATTATTTTTTTTCTCTTGAAAAAATAATTAAAAGATGATTTCAATTAAGCTTAGATCTAGCACACACATACATTGAGATAAATTCAATCACAAATATCTTAATGTACAATATTTAGTTGCAAAAATTAGATAATAGAAAAAAAATATTTCAAATTGTTTAATCTAATTGATTGTCATTTGATTAGTTTCAAATAGACAACATCTGAAGTTTTTTGCTTTGATTTTTTCTAATCAGTTTTGACTACTATCCATTTCAAAATAGAAGATGGATCACTGTAAGTTCAATAACTCGAGAATGCAAGCTGCTAGCAATCTGCGGTTTTCACCATTAGAAAGAGGACATCGGGGCACGTGAATATATGGGAAAATGTTACTGGTTAGTAACTGATCAATAGCATGCAAACCAGCCGGACATTTTGAAGACACCTTTTAGAACGCTTTTTTCTTTGGTTTTTCAACTTCAATTAGACCATTGGATAGAAAAAATTGTTCTCTTTCGATCTACACAAGGCCGAATTCGATAGCATGCTCCATTCAAGAGTTATAAGCATTTTCCTGAGACCTCCGAATGGGGTCAGGTGACGCTCGGTCACCCGTAAAAAGGTCACAATCTAGGTAATCGGCCATGCTGAGTCCAGTGGCACAGCGGCAAAAACTAATTTTTCGAAAATCTTGATATAATAGTCTGAGATTACTTTAAAGTAAGAAACAAACACCACCACTGGACTCAGCATGGTCGATTACCTAGATTGTGACCTTTTTACGGGTGACCGGGCGTCACCTGACCGATTTCGGGGTCCTAGGAAAAAGCTTATAGCCCTTGAATGGACCATGCTATCGAATGGTCTAATTGAAGTTGAAAAGCCAAGGAAAAAAGCGTTCTAAAAAATGTCTTCAAAATGTCCGGCGGGCTTGCATGCTATTGGTCAGTTACTAACCAATAACATTTTCCCATATATTCACGTGCCCCGATGTCCTCTTTCTAATGGTGAAAACCGCAGGTCGCTAGCTGCTTGCGTTCTCGAGTTATTCAACTTACAGTAATCCATCTTCTGTTTTGAAATGGATAGTAGTTCAATGTTTGTGTTACCATTAAATGAGTTATATCTCTTTTCAAAGTAATCAACTTCGACAAATCCAAAAGCAAACAAATTGCTAAATGGATAAATCTAATCGTTTTTCTTTTCACTGTCTGTTTTTATTGATGATTAGCTGAAGTACCCGACGTTGTCCAAGAAAATTTCATATTACATACTTGATATATAGAAAAAACGACGTTCTTATGATTTCCTATAAGTTACAGAACTTGAATATTTCAAAATGCACTCGGAACACTTTTCCTTTTCAAAATTTTTTTGTTATTGACATTTTAAACTTTTCAAAAATATTTTTATTTTTTTCAATGTTTTTTTTCTGTTTTATGAACTTCTTTTATATTTAAGAAAGATTATGTGAAATGAAATATAATTTTTTGAGATTATTGATAAGAAACATTTACGAAAAAGTTCTACTTTTCAATCGCTTTCTGTCTTCTATTTGTTTTTTATTGTTACACTTCAGTTTTACACTAGAAAATCCAATCTACAAAAACTTTTTGAGAAAAAAATAGATTTGCTCAAAAATATAAATTCTATCTATCAAATATTTTCTATGTTCACCGTAATAAATGTTCAAATAAACAACACATAAATCGTTTTAATCATCTGAACATATTTACTTGACATCATCCTTTTCTTTATTTGAAAAAGTCTTTTTTTCAGTAAAGTGTTTTTCTTAAATGCCTTTTATAGATAATCTCATAGTTTATGCATTTCTTTTTCTAACCGATTAATAGCTCGTTACTCTTTTGTCTTTTGTAATCTCTCCTATTCAGATTTTTATTAGTTGATTTTCTACGTTGAAGAATTATCATGTTAATGTAAATGATAAAAATAATCTAAGTACAATTATTCTTTGGGATAAAAATTTGAGAAAATCATTTAATTGAATGGATTGATTTGAGGGAAAAATCTTAATTGATATTCTCATTTTATGAAACAATCTTTCAGAAAAACAAATTCTTTGTAGAAAATTAAAAAATATTTCAATTCAAATGAAAAATCAATGGAAAAGATTTTTTTTTAAATGATCATTTTCTATTATTCACAAAATAATTTTTGCGTCAAATATTTTATTAAAAACTTTTCAATTGAGATAAAATCTTATTAAAGAAAAAGAATTTCTTTGTTTTTCAATTAATTCGAAATGAATGAAAATAAAAAAAAACTTTTTCTTTTTCTAATAGATCTGATCTTACCTTCCAGATCAATGAATGATAATCTTTATGAAGAAAATATTCTTTAAAAAAAAAATTATTCAATTTATGAAAATTTCATTTGATTTATGAGAAAAAGAAAAGATTTGAATTAATAAAATAATTTCATAATTAATAAGAAAAATTCTTTTCTATTTGATTTGAAAAAAATTTTCTCAAATGAAAAGGAAAACAAATGAATATTAATAAAGAAATTAAAGATCATTTTTATTTTCATTTAAAATTTTTTTTATGAAAAATCTTTTATTTTTCATCTTCAATTCTTGAAAAATAAAAAAAAAGACAAAAGTTTTTTCTTTGAATAAATGAAAAATTTAAAGAAAATTGAAAATTTATTTTAGAATTGAAATGAAAAAAATAAAAATTTTTATATAAAATTCAAAAAGATAATCAAATTATTATTTTTATTTTCTTAATAAATTGAAGATAAAATCATTTTCTCAAATCAATTTGGCAAATAAAAAACTTGAAAAAGATTTTCTTTCAGAAATTATTTTGTCATTAAAAATATTTAAACAAATGAAATGGAAATTTACAATTTTTATTGTTTGAGAATGAAAAATCGACGAAATCAAGATCATTTTTTCATTAAACTTGATTAATTTTATATAAAATAAGAATAAAATAAAAATCTTCTTATTTAACTTTATTAATGATTATCATTTGAAAATAATAAAAATATTTTTACATATGAAAATTTTTCTATTTATTGGAAAAGATTATCAAAAGTAAAATACATCATTCCATCTTCTGTTTGTTTATTTATTATAAATAAATTTCTTTAACTTTTCATTGTTTTTATTATGAAGATTGTTGAAAATGATTTTCTATTTGAATATTTTATCGATTGTTATTTGTCAATTAGACTTTTTCATTGATAATCAAATAAATTCAATTATTTGTTCATATACTTTTATTCTTCAATCTATTTCATTGTTTTTTTCAAAATCTTCACAAAAAAAAGATTGAATTCTCAAATATTGTTCGGACGAATGATGCTTGATCAACATTCGATAGTTTGAAGAAAATTAAAATGAAAAGATCGACAAGATTTTATATTTCTTAAATATAAATATTTTCAAATAAATGAAAATCATTAGATAAAATTTCTCTTCATTTATTCTCTAGAAACGACTTTGTGACAAATTCTAAAATAATACAATTCAAGTTCATTTGACAATAATCAATATCCGTAATGAACATTAATACAAAAATTTTTCAAAATAATCAAAGATATAGAATGGATCTTCAAAAGAAAATTCTCTACGAATAGAATAGAACAACTCCAAATTAAAGTGAGACACTCTTCATATCATAGAAAGAACAGTTAAAATAGAAAAGTTATTCTTATCAACAAAGAATTCTTGTTGGAAATGTAATTTTGTATTAAAGATCAAGATCATTTTCATGGACATGTACTCTTTGATCAACATTAATGGAAGTTTGACAAATCAACATATCAGAGAAAATAAATAAGAATGAAAATGAAATTTCTTCTTTCATCTATTAGATATGGTGATCCAAGATAACAATGACAAATCATTATTAATATCTCATATGAATAGATTCATCAAACATATTTTCTTATCTCTTTTATCAAAGGATATTAATAAGAATTCTTATTTGATATTTATTTACAATGTTGCAAATTCGATTTTCAAATCTTTTAGTTTTCAGTGTTCATGTCACATCAAATTCATTTTTTTGTGTTCAATGATTTTCACTCGCGCTTCCCATAAATTGATCTTATCCTTTGATTTAGTTTTATTTTCCTTAATCAGATTACTGTTCATCAAGACTTTCTTCTTTAGAAGATGAATTTGACAAATTCATTTTCATTTTCTCAAGAAAATTAATTTTTCTACTTTGATCGAACAACTTCTTTTTTTTAAGAGTGTATAGAGAATTTCAACAAGCTGAAGGCTTTTCGTTTTTATTTTCTAAACAATGTTGACATGGAAAAAAAAATTAGATTCATTTCCAATGCAAATAAATATGTTCAACTACACGTTTAATTGTATAATCACGCAGAAGTTTTTTCGAATCGATTAATTCTTCTAACGTCTTGATCATTTCCTCATCGGCATCTAGATCAAAAAAAACATAACCAACGAAGTGAATCATGACATTCTTGATTAATTTTCTTCAAAATCTCTTCGACGAATAATTCAGCATCGATCCCGCCGAGCGATTCTATTCGGAGATATGTCAGATGTGGACAAAGTTTCATTAATAAATAAACTTCTTTCATTTCCGTGATATTATCAAGATAAAACATGGTAATTTTATCAGTATTTTTGGTGGATTGTGAAATATTAACTATTTTTTTGCAAGAAACATTGGCTTGTGTTAATGACAAGGAATCTATTTTAATTGAAATAAGATTTGGAAATAAATCGATGATTTCGAGTAATTTATCAACAGCCATCTCGATGTCATGGATTTCCAAATGATAAAGTTGTACTACAGTTAAAATACGTTGGATTTCGATCTTCATTAGTTCATTAAATTCATCACAAGAAGTTATATTCAGAATTAGTCGATGGCATTGGCAAAGATCAGTAGAAGAATTGACCATTCTCTCGTCCGTATATTCATACCATCTTTTTCTAAAAGAAATTAGAACATGTCTTTGAATAGAAACGATTCTTCTCAACTTACTTATATGGATGAACAACATAAACGATTCCTTCATCGACGATTTTAGCATCAAATATCCATTGTCGTTTGATCCAAAACGGAGAACAAAATTGATTTAATCCTTCAAAATATCGATGCTCGTTATCAACATGATCCAAGTATTGAAAAGAAAATCTTTCTAATTGAGATAAATGTTGTAAAATTAATCGTTCCCATCGATAAGCATCGAGATAGGTGAAGTCATTCGATGAAATATTAACAGATAAAGTTATTAATTTTGAATGTATTTTCCCAATGAATATTTCAAAATCATGAAAATTTAGAGAAAATATTCGTAGAGAAAGATATGTCAAATTTGTTAATGCAATTGACGACATACTTCCGATGGTTGTATCTCTCTCATGTCTATGAGAAAAATGAAGACGACGAAGATCAGGTGTATAAGATATAATAGATGAAAGTTCATTGAAAGTGATGAAATGATCAAGAATCAGACATTTAATAGTAGTCAGTTGTTGATTGGTGGCCATCAGAAGTGATATGGAACGTTTTTCTCCATCTAAGGTCAATTTAGTATAGTTTAATTGTCGTAAAGAAAATATTAATTGATAGATGTGAGTTAAATTGACGAAATCATTGGATGGAATTTCGATTTTCAACGAGGATAGACGAAGCAGAAAAATTGAATTAATAAGAAGTGAAACTAGAACATCCGCTTGAATATTACGAAGAATAAGTTTTTCGAGACGAACGAATGACGAGTCGATAGTCAGGTATTTTGGAACTAACGCACTATACTGCTTTGCTATGAACACACGGATGGACGCGATTTGATGTTTATTAATAAGTTGTGGATGAAGACTTACACTCCTGGACAAAAGTAATCGCTCCCCTTGAACTGATATTATTTGTTATGATATTTGGCTGATATTTTGGATAGAGGCTGATCTCAGTGAACCCTGATCGCAAGCACCACTCCGCCCTCAATCGGTTGAGATACAGTGGAGTTATCAGTTCAACTCAACCAATTGAGTTAAAGATTTCAGCAATAAGTTCTCATAAGCTCCTAAGTTTATGGTAGGATTTTCAGACCTGTAGCACAATGTTAACCCAAGATAGAGCCATGAGAAGAGTTCACCACGGTATGTTTTGTCAATCGATGAAATCACCCTATTATGCGATGAGCTTTAGATACAAGAAACTACGTATTATGGACTACAATTAACGCAAAAAAAATTGAAAAAAAATTGTACAGGGATGAAATAGCAAACGAATATTTTATGAGATTGCATTACCATTTAGTTCTGTCAACACGTAATTACTACAGTACCAATGCCCGAGATGCTCCAATATTATAAAGACTTGAGTGCCAAAACCATTCTGATAGCTTCATAAAGTTTCTTATTGATTGAATTAATGTCATTTATACGTTCTCTGGAGTGTGCTAACCAAAAATAAACATTTCCTAAACAATGAGCGTAAATTCCATAGTATTCGAAAGTTACACATGCATCAAGGCACTCTTACTTGTGTCTGAAACAAATCGCATGAAAATGTAATCTCATAAAATATTCGTTTACTATTTCGTCCCTGTACAATTTATTTTCGATTTTTTTTGCGTTAATTGTAGTCCATAATACGTAGTTTCTTGTATCCAAAGCTCATCGCATAATAGGGTGATTTCATTGATCGACAAAACATACCGTGACGAACCCTTCTCATGGCTCTATCTTGGCTTAACATTGTGCTACAGGTCTAAAAATTCTACCATAAACTTAGGAGCTCATGAGAACTTATTGCTGAAATTTTTAACTCAATTGGTTGAGTTGAACTCGATTTATTGACTCTCTAGTGAAAACTATGGCTTATTACTTAGTGAGAGTTTTCAATGTGAATTTCAGAACTTCATTATTCTCGATTAACTTCTTACCAATTTTTTATCGTAGATAGCCGCATCAATGTGTTTACGAATGAGGGGTTGCGCGAATATTAATGTCAAAAGATGACTGAGATATGACTTTCACAATGTAATGATATTGTTGAACTGATAACTCCACTGTATCTCAACCGATTGAGGGTGGGGTGGTGCTTGCGATTAGGGTTCACTGAGATCAGTCTCTATCAAAAATATCAGCCAAATATCATAACAAATGATATCAGTTCAAGGGGAGCGATTACTTTTGTTCAGGAGTGTAGTTAGGTTTTTTCTCAATTTTCTACATCTACGTGATGCGAAGATATCAATCTGATCTCTAAAATCGATGAAGCTACGTTGATCTTAGTTTTATGCGATACCCTGCTAGGTGACAGAAGTATTTCAGGCAGACAAGAATCCCAAAAACAGGTTTAAACGCCATTAAATTTGATTTCTTTGTTCGTTTAAATGCATGTTTGATAAAGTGGTCGTAAAAATCGCTGAAGAGAGTAGATGTTGAACGTGCATGCGTACATAGTTTGCATTTCCATTGTTTGTGCCAGTTAACACAAACAGAATGTGAATTGTATGAACGTTTTCACGCTACCTATTGTTCACAGTTGTGTAAAAGCTCAAAGCATAAACTTAATAGGCGTTACACGCGTAGGTATTCAGGATTTTTATTTTTACTCGACAATCAGCGAATAAACCATGAAAAGAGCTAGATTCAAAAGATTGATTGATTGTTTACACATGATCGCCAACGAAAAGCAACCAAAAGTTTTTGTGTCTTGACACGTGTTTTCAGAAATTTTACTCTACTCGATATGTACGTTAAATGGGGAAAAAATTCATGACGTCATTTACGGACAAACGTTTTATGTCTTCGCATTTTCTTGCTTTTTCATTGATAATAGTTTTATTTCCCCTTTTTTTTCTTTATATCTCAGCTATGTCCATTGCAAAAGAATCCCGATCGCCTACGACTATTTACTAGAATTAGTTGATATGTAAGCAAGTCGTTAATCGTAATAATACTAGATGCAGAAGCACGTCCATAACGGAGTGATTTGATGATTCACACATGATCTTCTATGAGAAAAACACACTTTTGTTTACGACTTGCTTTATGCCACTAAATAATTTCAAAACTGCAAATTTACGCAGTAAACAGATCATATATTTTTGTAGTCGTGCGTATTGTAGCAAAGCACCAACTACGGCATCGTATTTTTGGTAAAAGTTTATGTATGTGTCGTCGACTCAATTCGACATAGCCGTATTTCTTCATCGAGTATTATGACGGTATGCGACCCGCTTATAGCACATATACTGATGAAAGCAGTTATATGTGATGACAATCTTTTTCTCGATGAATGTATATTAGAGAGAAAACGAAAAACAGAAGCGATATAACTATTTTCCATGAAGAAGAACGATAATGTGAAGATATAATTTATATAGCTCATTTTCTTCTTTCCCATTTGATCATACTGCGTCTCCTATTTTTTTTTGTCCCTCTCGGATACACATATAGCAAAACAATTCACCTCGCCTACGAGTGAGTCCACTGAATATGCATCACGTCAACAGGTCTTATGCTATCATATTGCTTGATGCCCAAATAATTCAGTGTTTTAGTAGAACGCCAACTTTTAAGTAATAAACCGACTATTTTTGTAGGACACCTGCTCCGAGTAGCACGGTGCTGTAGACGATATCGTATCTTTTTCCATTCAGCGTCATATATGCTTGACACTCTCATTACAGTACGACATCATTTGTGCATCAAGCAGTATGATGACATCTGGCGCATTTGCATATCATGTTTTTTTACGGTATTCATTCGTATGCGAGACGTATTGTTTTTTGCTGCGTGTGCCTGAGAAACAACAGAAAAAAAGGGAGATATACTATGACCAGAGAGGAAAGAAAAAATGGTAAGAATAATTATTGTATGACATGTTTGTTTTTTTCTTCACTGATAATAGTTGCATCTCCTTTCTTTTTCCATTTCCATTAACGTCCACTATATAAACGGGTATATGCGATGGATAGATCTATTTCTGATTGCGACAACATTTGGGATATATCTGATAAAAAGAAACCATTAGGGTTATATACTTTATTTTCATTTGTCGAAAATTGGTATATTACAATATTTCAAAAGAAGCTACAAGAATCTAATTGCACGGTATGTTATAATTAATACATCGTTTCCCATACTACAAAATTACGACAATACAAAGAAAAGATTTTGAAAATTTTGGCAAATAATTTCAGAAATATAATCTAACACTCGATTGATTTGATTCTATATCTAAAGTGAACAATTTCTTTTGAAATAGATTTTTCCTCGGTCATTTACATGTTCTTTTATTAATAATACATAGACATAATATACTATTTGTTTATGTATTAAGTCATATCTTATTTTGACATAAAGATTTATTCTTTTGATAATAATAATATCGTATTTTAGAGATCAAAATTAAGAAAGGAGTGAAGCATGAATTGCAAAGAGAGATATTTGGAAAGAATGATTGTCTCAGTCCAAAAGAAGAGATAAACGTGTTACAATCAAACAGCAAGCTATAACATAATGAGGCAAAATCAGTAAAGACTACCGTGTGTTCAGAAATCATTTAGAATATGAGTAAGGATCAGGTTATATAGCCATGATTACGAAGTTTTATTACGATATTGCATATGTAAATTACAAATATTATAGTGGAGGTATAGTTAAAGACAATTTTCTTTCAGTAAAGAGATACATAGAAAAATCCTTTAATTAATTTGATCGTTAGCGTTAAATAACTGATAAAATAAATATCGTAGAATTATCAAGGTACTTTTTAGATTCAGTTTGGGATCTTTATTCGATTTTGAATGATGAAGCAGAGAAACTTCGTTCTATTTCAGAGACGCAGTTGTACTTGTTCAGACTAATAAAGAAGGCGAATGTATGATCTATTTTATGAACAATGGTCGCTTGATTGAAACTAAAGTTTATGAAGAGAGCAGATCAGTTGATAAAAATAAAAGAAAATAGGGATGAAATAGAAAGTATCACTAGAAAAGCACAACTACAACGCGGTCACGCATCTATCAGCATTAAGTACTACCCTAGTGAAACATCTTTTAAGCAAGATCTTGGATCTTGTACCAAGATCTTAATATCTTGTGACAAGATCTTGGTCAAGATCCAAGGTACAGAAATGTAAACAGATCTTGATAATTTAAATACAAGACAATAACGTTTTCATCTTGCAACAAGATCTTGACTTGATAGCACTTGTTACGAATGATTTTGGTACTGCTTGAAGCTAGGTTGTGCCGAATCATTTAAGAAAACATGATCTTTATTCAAGGATGCTCGCGAAGGATGACGTTTTTGAATGTTTTTCGAACTGACCATTGGTCTCTAACTTGGCTCCTTGTGTTTGCAGCAGCGATCCGAGTTCTGATTCATATTCAGCGTCAAATTTTACTTCGGTTTGGCTATCTCGGTAGTATTTAGAGCCATCCATAAACGATTTTTGGTGGCCATTTTTGAGCACGGATATTTCAGTCAAGATCTTGCTTACAAGATGTTTGACTAGGGTATGCATTAAAAAGAAATAGAAAGAAACTTGAAGAGAATTTACAAAAAGAGGTATTGTGCGTTTGTGATGTAAAAGAAAAAGGTCAAGGAAAGGAAAATTCTAGCAATTCTTCTAGTAGGTTTAATTCTCCAATAAACATTTTAAAAACTGCTCTGATAATAATTACCCACATCGAAAATGAAACTCTAGACAGTTTACGATTATCTATATTTAAACTTTTATTCCAAAAATAATTGAATATAATTCAGGAATCAGTTCTACTTATCAAGCACTAAAGAAAAAGAAACTTATTGGGAAAATTGGTTTTGAGTTCCAGGCAGAGAAACAACATTTTTCAAATTAAAAATTTATAAAAGTTCAATTTTAAGTGAATTTTTCATACGTTTTTATCATTATAAAATTACGAGTTGCGTTTTTGATGGATTATTCGATCTAGTAGCAGAAAAAAATATTTTTTTAAATATTAATCATAATGTCAATTACAGATATATTCTTCATGTAAATGATCAATTTGATATAAAAAGTAAAAGAATTAAAGTTATTCATTTTTGAGATTTATTAAGAAAGGTTTACCACTCTTTATAGAACATTATCCTCTTGAACAACGTTATTATCGAGCTGTCTCTTATGTTGTCAGAAGAAAAAAATAAATCTCTAAGAATAATTTCTTTCTATAAAATAAATTATAATTTATTGGATATTTCAAAAAAAACGAAACTTAAAAAATCAGTTTAAAAACAACAAAATAAATTTCTTTTAAGTTTATTTCCCATTTTTTTACGTTTTGGTGTTAAAAAATTAAATGATAAAATTAATGAAAAAGAATTTTTTGTTTAGACCTATCTCCATATATTGATCAAATAAATGAGTTAAAACAACGTTTTAACTCTGTTTATAATATTGACTGGTAATTTTGTAATAATCAAAATGATAAGAAAACATTTCGAGAAAATTAGTATAAAGAAAATCTATATGAAAGAAAATATCTTTTTTTTTTATTAATTGAACGTAATATTTATTTCATATTAAATTTTAATGAAAATAATCTTTTTAAAATAAATGAAAACACAATTAGTCGGACAAAATTGAAAACAGTTTCGATTACAATGCTTATCTTTTAAAAGATCACAGACTCAACAATTTAAAGAGTTTTGTCGTTAAAAATATTAATTTAGAAAATGTCGGAATAAATAAACAAACTCGATTAATTGACAAAGATAGGTTTCAATATCAGGAAAGTAAAAGTAAAATACAGAAAATTGCTACTAAAATGAATTTAAATAGATGGTAGTTTTATAGAGAAATCGCCTACGGTACAGTATCAGAAGGTTTTTATTGATAAAAAAAAAAGATTTAGACATTCTTGAAATTTATTTTAAAAGATACTTTACCAGTTGACTTGAAAAAGAGAAAAATAAAACAAAGTCAAATATTGAATCATTGATCGAAAATAGTTCAAGTACATAATGAAAATTTATCAAGAAATTTTTCAGTTTCTCAGGATTATTTTATAAAATTAATATCAAAAATTGATTATGAAAAGCAGAAATTAGAATTTATGATTTTAGAACAATTAACGATGGAAATTATTTAAAAGATAAAATTGAATCTGATCTTAGTAAAAAAATTTTCTTGTGTATAGTCCGATGAATTAAAAGTCCGAGTTTAGGGTATGTCCACATCAAGTTTTATTCTAATACTATGAGAAAGAGTTTTAATGTGCTATTACATAGGAACATACAACATTAATTGGAGCATCTAATAACATGCACCAACTCACCACAGAACAACCTCATTTAAAGAACTAAATAGAAAAGAAGAAAGGTAGCGTATGCACCGCCAGAGTGAAATTCATGCCACATAAAACAGATAATACAATACACATAAGTGTAATTGATGAAAGGTAATTGTGTATCTATAGAGTAGAGTAGATCTTGTTGTGTTACGATCCACGCTCATCTTTCATTTTCTCTTGTTCGTCGTATTCATCCTCCATTTCACACATAAAAACATCCAGTTCATTCACCTGATCATCCTTAATATCAGGATTATCTGTTACTATAGTAGAAGATTTGACTCTTAATTCATCTATTGTACCATCGAGCTGAACGTCTTCTTTAATATATCTGTTAATATCACCATGTACGTGTTCAATAACCTTCAAAGTCTGGTGTAGGACCAATACGTTTATCACCATCACCATAAAAACCCTGTATTGTATGGTGTCTCCATTTTGATTGTCATAATTCAAGAAAGAAAGCATAGTATAAGAAGTTATCCCGGAATATGTTAGTATATAGTCTTTGTATACGTACCATATTTGAAACCTGTTAAACAATGTTTAATGTACAAATGAAAATCAAACTTGTAATAGCATATGAAAAATCGATATACTTGAAATTATATAGCGAGTGTGTACCAGTAGAAAGAGATAAGAATCTAAGATACACATTATAGATAGAGGACTAGTAGAGGATTATAATAGTAGATATATGACCAATCCACATCAGTCTATAGTACATGAAAAGCAACAAAAGACATCATCATGAAATGAAAATGAATATTAAAAAAAAATCAAAATTTTACTCGAACTTTTAATTTATCAGACTATAGTAAAACTATCAAATAAACATTATGTTACTTTATTTGTTGAAAGTAAAAACCCTTATAAAAATTATTATGATTTAAGATATATTTATGTTGTGAATTTTAATTGTTAAAAAAATCAATTAGTTGACTGGAGTAATGAGTAAATATATTTATAAGCTTTATATTATTGAGTATCCAAAACAAAGACTAATGCCAGAAGATAGTTTATCACATGGCTATTTTAATGCAAGAGCTTATCAATGGACTTCTTATAATCATCAGTCGAAATTTTTAAGAGAAAATTTTTATAGACAAGAGTTTTCTTGCAAAGAAAAAATTAAGAAGTGATCTGTTGAAACTACGGAGAAAATATCCGTTTTGAATGACTTGTATTTATTTAAGCAATAAAAATATTGGAATCAGCAATAATTAAGATATGATTTAGCAGTAACTTTTGAGCAATAAGAAAAATTTATTTGAGTAATAAGAAAGCTTTATTTGAGCAATATTATAATATTAAATTAGCAATAAATAATTTATTACATAACAACATTAATTTCATATTTGAGCAACAAAAAAAGAGAAAAACTACATTATTTTATTTACAATTGACAAGAAACAAAAGAAATGAAATATATATAACTAATCATTGTACTAATAAAGCTTTTTTTGCTTTCGATGGTCTGCCTCTTTTTCTTTTTTTACCAATTGCCACATTTTTTGCCTCAGGTGGAGGTTTGCAATATTTTAATCTTAATCGACATACCAATGACGTGCTTAGAAATATAATTTTTCAAGAATGATGGCCAGATGCAAGTTGCTTCTTTTCATTTTTCTGTATTGTTAGATAAGCATATACACCATATATTGAAGTAGACGGATTTGTACATGTCAAACGAGTTGAATCTACAAGTTTCATAACGTTTTATTTCTTTACCTGTTATTGTAATTTCTTCACCAGCAGGCAAATAATATATTGTTGTATCATCGTTGGAAATAGATATAACTTCTTTGTTAAGCTTAACCCAATTGTATGCATCAGTCCAATGTGATAATGTTATTAATGGTTGATGTCCGAATTTTTTTGAATTGATAAGAGTAGGATTTCGTTCTTTTGACCATTTATTGACTATAGAAAATATAACAACTGTAAATCTTGATAATACTAACCGTTCTCTTAATGTATCTTCATCTTTAATCACACGATTTGTTGCTTCTAAAGCATTACTTGTGCTGGGAACATACGTTGATAAGCTTTCATACCACCCATTTTTCGATTCTAACCATTCACTTGAGAAATATTGAATAAATCTTTCTTGCTTCTCCCATTTTTTTTTAAGAATAATCTTGTAGCAATATTAAATGTTTTTTTTATTTTTTGACAATTATAATGTTTCAATATCATTCATAATTTCATTATGTAAAGCTTTATCGTCGACTAAATTTAACTTTTTTTCTACACGTTTCCGCATATGAAACCAACGCATAACAATATTACGGTCTGTTTCAAAAACTTTTGGAAATGCATTGCTAATAGCTTCAGCACCATCTGCAATAAATACTAATTCTCGTTCATTCATCTGCAAATTTAAATTACGTAAGCCATCACGAATACAACTAAATATAAATTCAAAGTCTTTTTCTTTTTCATTAGAACATACAGCAAATCCATATGGATGAAATTGTTTGATCATATCAGTCGTTCCAATAATAAAACAAGGGAATCCTTGCCAGCTTAACTTGTAAGTGGCATCAATATGGATATTATTTGAAATGCTTGCATTAAATAATCTTTTAGTTGTAACAAAAAATCGAAATTTATTTTTATCATCATCATCATCATTATTAATTTCATCTTCATATTCAATCTGATATTTTAATACCCAAGGCTTATCATCGTCGTCTGGTATAAATGAATTTTGTTGACACTAAGCTTCGAGTTCACCTAAGCTAATAGTTGAAGTACCATAACATTTTTCTCTTAATGATGTTAAATAATTCGATAATTGTTGTTTTTTCGGAACAAGTAAACCTTTCTCTTCTAATAATTCTAGCATGCGTTTTGGCTTGATTTTTATTTTGAATAACTCGCATATTATTTCTTTTGATTGTTGGTTTATGCCAATAGATCTTGATTCTTGAGGTAAATGATGGTCTTCTGTTTTGTACATTGTAACACATTCATTTTCACTATGGTATAGAAGATGAATACTAGCTGCACATTGTCTCCCATGCCATTTGACTTGATTACATCTATAATAAATCCGTTTTTCTTCGCTTGTGATATTGGTGTGTGATTTGCTCCATATACCATCATTCTTGATTTTATTAATAACATCATCTTTATCATTATATGTGCATAATGGTACCCATTTTCGCCTGTTTTGCTTTTTTCTTTTAACTGTTTCACTATTGCCAGAAGGTTGAATTTCCATATCAATGTCATTTTCAGAATCAGAAATATAGTGTGCTACACTTTGAGATTGAGCCATGTGTATAAATTACATATAGTATTTCATAAAGTTGAGAAAACACTTATTATTGTAAACAAACGAATTATTATCGCCCTTTTTATATACATTTTATGTTTTACTTAAGGTACAGGCAATTCAAACTTTCAGTAAAATTTTTTCTGCCTTTTTTTTACACCATTTGATAGAGTATGAGCAGCTGATCACGAAAAACTACTTTTTAGCCTTAGCAAATACTTTCTTCTGGTCGAAAAATACGAAATACTACAAAGGTGTCACTTTTCGAAAAAGACCACATCTTTTTTGAAATATGCAAAATTTTCTACTTCATTGTTTTCTCATGATTCTGAAAATAATTTTTTTCAGATTCAGTATCAAAAACTATATATAAAAAAAGTTATTAAATTGATTCTAGACTCAAAACTCTATTGGTGGTGGCGCTTCGAATCTCGTCGAGTCGACTATGTATAGGTCGATTTTGTAAACCTATCTAGTTTTTACAGGTAAGCAATGGAGTGAAATATTTTATCTCATTCGACTCATTACACTATCAGTCACAAAATTACGATCCGTTTTTTTCTCTTTTCTCTCCTATGTCGAGAAAAATCGCGTTTACTAAATTTTGGCCTAAAAAGCCAGATTTTTGCTCGTATATCTCAATTTTCATTATCAAAACTAAACTTTTATGTGATAACAATATCATATTCGAAATCAGCATCGAAAACTTCATCGATTAATATATTTTTTTACAATTTTTGTCATCTTTCATTTTTCGATAAAAATTCGACCTGCTGTTTCAACTGAAAATTCGTAAAAAATCGAAATTATCGGAATCGGTTAAAATGTGCATCAAACGATGCAGTTTTCAATGCTGATTTCGAATATGATATTGTTATCACATAAAAGGTTAGTTTTGATAATGAAAATTGAGATATACGAGCAAAAATCTGGCTTTTTAGGCCAAAATTTAGTAAACGCGATTTTTCTCGACATAGGAGAGAAAAGAGAAAAAAACGGATCGTACTTTTGTGCCTGGTAGTGTAATGAATCGAATGAGATAAAATATTTCACTCCATTGCTTACCTGTAAAAACTAGATAGGTTTACAAAATCGACCTATACATAGTCGACTCGACGAGATTCGAAGCGCCACCACCAATAGAGTTTTGAGTCTAGAATCAATTTAATAACTTTTTTTATATTTAGCTTTTGATGCTGAATCTGAAAAAATTATTTTCAGAATCATGAGAAAACAATGAAGTAGAAAATTTTGCATATTTCGAAAAAGATGTGGTCTTTTTCGAAAAGTGACACCTTTGCAGTATTTCGTATTTTTCGACCAGAAGAAAGTATTTGCTAAAGCTAAAAAGTAGATATTCGTGATCAGTAGCTCATACGCTATCAAATTATGTTAAGAAAAAGGCAAAAAAGAGTTTTTACTGGAAATTCGCATTGCCGGCACCTTAAATTAATTATTGATCATTCCATCTAATTATTCATCATTCAGTATATTTATTGCTCATTCATTATACATATTGTTTATTCAATATATTTATTGCTTATTCAATATATTTATTGCTGATCCATTATATTTATTGTTAAATTTGATTATTGCTCATTTCAATTTTTTTATTGCTGAATTAAATATAAGTCGTTTTGAATTATGTTGATGATAATGTTCCTTAAGATGAAATTATTAAAATAATTGCAAAAATTTTAAAACCGATATTTATGGATTATTGACCAATATTTAAATTCTTTAGAACCTGAAGAAATTAAATATCGTGTCGGATATTTATCAAAAACTTTTATTTTACCATGGAAAGATTTGATCAAATATTCGAATCTATTGGTCTGATAAGCGAACAGGAAAGTCGAAACAAAATACAAATGTTCCCTCTACTGGAAGGAGGGTCATACGCTGAGTGAGCTATCTTCGTTCGTTCGCATGTTCGTTCGATCGCAGTATCACCTGAGTGATTCATTCCACCACGTAAAATAAAATTCACCAAAGGTTTTTGGGGTCGAGGAATCCAAATCTACTATTAGTTTTTAAAGATTTTGTATTGAATTTTTTTTGTAAAAAAGCATTTTTTTAACGGAAAAATTGATTTTTTTTATAAAGTTTGACCAATGGTTTTCGGTGTCGAGGAATTCGGATCTGCTACTGTTTGTGAACACTTTGTAGTAGGTTTTCACGGCCTGGCTCTGCGCTACCGAGATTTCAAGAGTGGCCATTCGGGCCAATCATAGTTTTTCACGGTCTGGCTATGCGCCAATATGATTTCGAGACTGGGCATTTGGGCAAAACATAGGTTTTCAAGGTCTGGCAATGCGCCAATGAGATTTCGAGAGTGGCCATTTGGGCCAATCACGGGCTTTTACGGTCTGGCAATGCGCAAGTGCGATTGTTAGGATTGAGATTTGGAACATTCATAGATTTTCACGCTGCGAGCACTGGGTGATTAGATTGGTAGTGTGAAGTATTTACGAATCAAGTTTTTTCCGGCGTTAAGTGATTGAATTCCGATGATTGGAGAATTAACAGATGAAATGTTTCAAGATTTTGAACGCAACAGATTATTTAAGAATTGATGCTTCAACAGTTAGTTTTGGGGAGGACCTCCAGAAGTGAAGTATTTTCTCTGTTGAAAGGAGGATTATACGCTGGACGAGCGACGTTTGTTCGATCATAGTACCTTCTGGGTGATTCATTGAACCATATAATATTAAGCTTGACTAGAGGTTCGTAGGTTGCAGGAACTCAAATCCGCTTTATTTTATTTAAGTTTTTCACTCATTTTTTTGTAAAAAGAACGCTTTCTTTATGAAAAAATCAGTTTTTTAGGAAGTTTCACCAAAGCCTCTTGGGGTGAAGAAGTTCAAATCGCGGATTAAGTTTTCGATGCTTTTTAACTGGATTGTTTTTCGATGAAAACAGCGCTTTTTTGCCAAAAAAACTCAACTTTTTATAATGCTTAGCTGAATGTGTCGGGTCGAGCAATTTAAAGCTGTCTGTACTTTCTTAAAGTTCTGCATTGGGTTTTTCGTGTAGAAAGCCTTCTCTATCTCGTTCTGTTTCTGCTAAAACTTTGTAGAACGGTTGAAATGGTTGCTTTGCAATTAATCTGAGGTGAGTTTCAAATATTAGGAGTTGAATGGAAGATTCGGCAATATTTTCATGGAAAGCGTGACAATTGCAAGAAGTTCAAATTGTTTATGAGTTTTCTCACAAGTATTGAGTTTTAATGCTAGTAAGAATTTAGATCGTGTAGTTGAGTCATTTTAGTAAACGTGATCGTCAATTATGGAACCTAGAGTTCGAAATAACTTGATCTAAGAAAGTAAATTATCGATATCCTGAGTCAAGACGAAGTTGGGCGCATGCCACGAATACTGCATGTGTCACATTGTTTTCAAGTTCTAGAAAACGTTAGCGGATGCGTATTTGCTTACGCGTTGTGAAATTGGGAGCTGATTACTACGAGTAACTTTCTGTTGTGTACTAATGTACTAATGAAATTTTGATTATTATCGATTATTCATACAAAAATGATTAAGAGCTCAGAGAAAACTCGAAACAAGTCGAGAGAAATCCTATTGTGGATAATAGATGCGTCACTGTCCACAGCTTACAAATAAATAAGGATAGTAGCAAAATGCCTATTGTATAAATGATCATAGAAAAATATTTTCAAATGTTTTACGCGATGAAATCTAATCTATTGAGTTCTCGAGTTGTACTGCTGATGGTTACACTTGTTTTCCCGAAAATTTTCTTCATCGATACAATGTTGATCGTTGTTCTGGAGAGGAGCGAGAAGGTTTGAAGTCATATGCTGGGTCATATGAACTTGTTCCTCCTTTACAACATATTACATTTCTTTATTTATGTCTTTTGCTCTTTCTCATGAAATAGTGACTTAAGAAGAACAGTAGGAACTTTGCGTTATATACGAAAGATTTTACTGCTTGTTTAACTTCAATATCAAGTGAGAAAGATAAAATCCTATGCAAGGCTGTAATATGGCTCAAAGCAGGAAAGTATTTGTGGTTCAGTATTGGAGATCCTTGTCTTGTCATCCTTGTATATAAGTCTTCAAAATCTCTCACACAAAAATTTTCGAAAAATCGAACTTCTTTTTCGTCGAAACATTTTAGTACGCTCTATCCAAAAATAGGATAGAAGTTTTTTAAAATGATCGTCATCCTGTATGTGTATGAAAATAATAATTATTGTATTTCTTTGCTCAAATACCATAAACTCTGCGGCAGCACATCCTTCCAATAGAGGGTCGGCGACGTTTGCGTCGCGCTACCTTGTATTTAAGAAAAAAGCGTTTCTCTCTGACTTTTTGTGGTTTAATCATTTCTGTTGGAAGTGGAACAATTTCTCTTTGAGAAAGGGATATGATCCAGTCCTCGTTTTTTGACATCAAATTACTGAAAATTTTTGAATATTGAAGGTTATTTTGACGCTAAAACATTGTAAAAAATCATTGAAGTCTTACAGAATTGTTAGTATGTTTTCAATGTACTTATATTACTCCATTATTTGATCAGAATGTACAAATTTTTGGAAATATT